CACCGGTTGCCTAATTGGAACCTTGGACTTGGTTCGGAAGGAGAGGTTGGGATGTGCTTCCCAAACGAGACCTGAGGTCTCGTTTTCAGAATTACCTACAATTGCGCTTCTTAGATGTAGAGAGGTTGTTCCCCGAGGAAAGACCTCCCGAAATCTCATTGGCGAGCGCAACCACGGACCACTCGCTTCGTCAAAGTAGCAACGTTGTCCAAGCAAACGTTAAGCACCTTGTCAACAAACTTGTCCCTTCCTTTTCGATCGGCCAGTGGAATGCGCATAAGCTTGTTCTTTGCCATGTACCAATCGTACTCTATACCAACACCTGCGATTTCAGGATGACACTTCGGTGAGAACAAAACCCTCCAGTTGTATTGCTTCGCAACCCATTCTAGCATCGAGACTTCTCGTTGGAAGTCGTCACACTGCTCAAGTAGCAGTCGAAGACTCGTCCCTTCGATTATGTTGCCAGGATTCCTGGGATCCTTTCGGCCGTCCATCGTGTAGTAGCTTTTCTTCTTCTTCCTCACGTTGCTCAAGTCAATCAAGCCTCGCTCAATGCACAATTGCAGTGCTCCTTTGGGAGCGTTTACCCATCCTTTCTGCTTCTTGACCTCTTCCACAACCATTGGTAGTAGCTTGTTCTTCTTTGCCACCACTCATAATGATGCCATGGATAGGTGGGAGCAATCTGCGGGCAGCCCGTTGTTGTTGTGGTTTCCGAGACACCCTGCTGATAATGACGTGTCATGCATCAATGGTTGCCGACCTCCTGGATACAAGTTGAGCCTGGCGGCATCCAAACCATCCTTTCGCTTGGCACAATGGCCTTGGCTATGATCGTAGCAGATGACGTGCTTGTGGTTCGGAAACATCACATTGACAATGTCTGCAACATTTTCAAACTGGACGAGGGTATGGTAGTTCGTCCAGTACCCTTCATTATTCTGGCCAGGCTGGATGTGCAAAGAACCGTACATCATTCTCGGACAAAGGACGCTTATTCGCACTGCCCAGTACAGTAATGGCAGCTTCCGTAGCAACATACATTTTGCCTTGTCGGTTTCTGTTGATCTGCAGTAGCTGCTCAAATGTAGGCATTGGCAACCAACTGGCCTCTCTGCTTACGATGCCAGATATCATGATTGAGCCCCCCAAATCTTTGGAGCGAAGTGCTTGTTGGCCGGCTGTTCCATACCATGCCATTGAATTCAGTGCCTTTTCATTGGAAACAACCTCATCTTGACCCCAAATCATGTATCGATCATCATCAGGAGCAAGCCTGAGGCTATGATTGCCACCAAACTTGCTACCATCATCGCTTGCTGCAACTTCCGGTAGAGTTTCGGAATCCAAGACATCATCAACATGAAATTCTAGGAGCGAGGTTCCTTCAGCACTCGTAGTAACAGGAATGCCTGCATTGTCGGGGTTGATTCGTTTCGCCTCCTTCAATTCATTTGCTCTCTCGGCTGTCAACTGTACCCAAACAGCACAATGAACTTCCAGTTTCGTGAGCTCGAGGCAATAGTCAATGCGCGACTCTACAACATCTGGTCTTTCGTGCACATCAGTGTAAAAGTCTTTCTTGTATATACTGCACCTGAAGCCAAGAAAGCCAAGCCAGCGATGGATGGTCTTGTGGCAAACATTTTTGAGCCCATTTGCTTTCAGAAACTCCGCTTGGGTAACCTTTTGCTCCGCAGCAAGCTGTGGAATAAGCGTGTCACGGACAAAGTCTCCCATAAAGCCAAGTGAGAGTTGTTGAATGTTGTCGTTCCCATAGTCTCAAATGGCAATAGCAGCTTTTGGATGGTTGGCAAACAGGGGAATGCCCATCCTGTTGTTCATCATTGGATTATCGAACCTTCGATGCACTCGAAACTGTCGCAGCCACAGCTGGATTGTCTTTGGACTGGTGATGGACCGATCACCTGTCATTGATTGAATTTCTACCATTGCTTGTTCCCATTTCTCACCAAAAAGTGGACGCTGTTGTTCTGCATTCGTTCCAAGCATAAGAGTAATGGCATGAAACAAATATGATGCTCTCATCTTGATCGTGAAAGCCAGCTTGTCAACGCTGGCATCATCAAAGCACATTTCGAGTGGTTCTCCATCATAGTTGTCAACAAAGTATGTCTTGGAATCTGACTTGCCAAGACCAACAACCAACTCTTTGGCATGTTGGACGCTCTGGGAAGCATCCCTCAGCAGAGCCCGGAGATGTTGAGCAGCCTCTTCCGCTGTTTCCCCTTCTCTTGCGCCAAACAGATTCTCCGCTTCCATAGAGTACCAAAAATTGATCATTGCATAAGCTTTGAGAGACATGTATGGCTTCAGCGACAGCTGAGCGGCCCTCAATCCCTGCATCCATTCCAAGGCGTTGGCCACAGCAGCTTCGGGCAACCGTGGAATGGATTCTGAGAAATCTGCGTAAATTGCTGCTTCTTTTCTCATTTGATAGATGTAGATTTGTTTTGATCCATCTTCCAGTGAAGCCGCATCGCCAACAGCATCAATGAATGATGGATGCAATAACCCATGGAGAGTGGTGTCCACGGAAAATTGAAGATGATAAGTATCTTCGACAAGGGGAGTCGAACGGTCAAAGTTCGCAAGACGCTGGCAAACATCCACAACGGTTGAGAGTGGCCACCATCGTCCTTGAATCGAATCGTCTTTCCGGAAAAGAGCCAGCACTGACTCCACCATCTATTGAGTATGCTTTGGCAAAGGATTGCTTTCCGCCTCAGTCGCGTCGAAGAGTCTACAGAGACTTCTTCTACCTTGGACACATCCCAAAGGAACCCTAGCGGCATTTTGGATCCTCTTGTGGACGACAGGAGTTACCGGAGTCTGGCTTGGTGACGCTGGTGTTCTCTGGGATTGTTTCCTCTTTGCATTGTTGATTGATGGGATGGTTGGCGAACTGTAACTCCTCCGTGGAGGCCTCACAGTGCGTGGGGTGGAGCTTGGGAAGGAGCTGTCATCTCTGTTGTTTTCCTTTCCCATTGTCGACGACTGTGGCGAGGGAGTCCAGAGGATGAGAGTCCAGAGGACGAGAGGACAACATCCTTGCAAGCATCTATCGTCATTGGAGCAGCTGCGCCTCAAATGGCTGGAAAAAGCAGCTCAACTCCTGGTACATGGTGTGTAGCACATTCATTCGGAATTTCAACCTTGGCGCCCATTCTTCTGCTCGATCATCTCTCCTCTTTGAGTCAAGATGAACCCCAGCCAAAAGGCAACCAGCCCACCACGCACATGTGTTACAGCTTCCTCTGTAAGAGAGAGTAAAAGCATAATAGCAACGGCAGCCATTGATCGTTCGTTCGCTGTTCCGCCGCATCGTATGCATTGATGTGAGTTGACGGAGGCTGATGGATCGATCGATCGAACGGTTAGATAATAATAATATTATAGGTGTCCTTTAAATAAAGATGACATCATTGGCGATCTTCTAGCGATTTTGTACTAGAGACATAGCTTTTGAACGCACTTAAACTCGAGAGGACAAGAGCCATAGCTAGTAGGTGCAATATCAATAATTAGATCTACACGTCCACTGCAGAAAGATACCGGTACCGGTATGCTGGCGCACACGATTGGAGGTACTGCCACACTGGCACCACACGCTAGCAATTAAGCACAATGAAAGCAGCAACAAGGAAAGCAGCAACAACGAAAGCAACAACGAAGGCAACGACGAAGGCAGCAACACTGGCAGCAAATTGCGGTAGCAAATTGCGGTAGCGGAAGAGAAGTGCGCCATATCAATGATGGACAATACTCCTAACCGTGTAGAGAAACGGAGAGATTATAAGGAGGGAGAACAATAACAAAATTTTATTGTCAAGGCGACACCTCCCCAGACAATCCCGCTTAACGGTGCCATGGAGAACCAGCATACCTATAAGGAGGGAGATTCGCCGCAGTCTGACAATAGCGACGACACCGCTGTGACTGCGGTGACCAGCACGAGCACGCTTTGTGAAGAGTCAAATCAAACTACAAATCTAACATTGGAAGAGCTGCAGGAGGATGTACCAGAGGAAATAAAGACGAAAACCTATCCATCGAGCAATTTACTCAGTGCGGAAGACGAGCTTTTTGATGATCTCAAGAGTCATTCCCTGGAGGACTCGGACAAAGTCATTGTGATTAATGCAGACGGAAAAGCGATCTTGTCGATGCCTACTATTTTTCGTCAGGATGCTCTTCAGAAGCTGCTTAAGATTGTCAACGCGTGTAGTAAGACGGAAGATCCCCTGCTGGCTCAAGCGGACATTCCTCTCCTCATTGACAAGAAGAAGGGCAAGTGCAAGCACCCCGATATAAGCATCTGGGGTCCCAGTTGTCTGGATGAAGAATGTGATCCACGGTTCATTCCAGTTGACGGTTTTCCTGGCAAAAATTCTATGAATCCGCACGTCATAATTGAATTCAGTTCTTGGACAAATAATGACCTTGAAATGGAATGGAAGCTCAAAAAACAGATGACAGACCACATCCAAGAGCTTGGGGTGGTCAAGCTTGGATTCCTTATCAAGGCCAAACCAGCTAAAGGAACGGCCTTCCCGACTGTCCTAGATCGGAACGCCCCCTCGCTGGGTTTGATGTCTACCAATTCCGGGCTGGGGATCCTGCTACGTCCGTGCCTGAAGAAACATACCTTGAGTACCATGCAGGTGGAGACGATGAAGACGCGATGGCCATTGAGATTAGCGCCGCTGATCTTGGTCGCAGCAACCAAGAAGAAGCGGTTTGCGTGCCCCTCACGGCAATCCGACGTGTTTGCGAGAAGAGGGGCTTGATGTTCTCCCCTGCAGCGGAAGGAAGTGAAGGAGAGGAAGAGGAGGGAGAGGAGGGAGAGGAAGAGCTTGACCAGGAGGGACAACTCCCAAAAGAAATCAAGGAGAAGGTTTACCTTGTTGGCGACGAAGGAGAACTTGAGCTCATCAAAGATCTGGAGAAGCACGTCCTGACCGACTACAAAGTCGACCTGGATTGAAACGGAAAAGCCCACTCGAGAAAAATGCCCACTCGAATGCATCAAGGCATGATTGCCACGATCCAGGATATTATCATGAAATTCCAAGAGCAGGATAAAGACAAGCTGCATGCTTGGGACATTGCGAGTGTCAAAGTTGGTATGAATGGAGTCAAGAAGGACTCTGATATGGCTGTCTGGGGAAATGAACGCCTCAAGATGACCCGACGAGTGAAACCCAAGACCATGACAGTTGATGGGTGGGAGGGACCCCATGACATGAATCCCCACGTCATCTTTGAGGTCAGTTGGACAAACAAATTGAAAGAGGAAGAAATCCCAAAATTTCGGCGCCAAATGGATAATCATGTTGGTGAAGTGGGAGAAATCAAGCTTGGCTTTCTCATCAAAAGCATTCCTGCCAATGGAAAGAAGGCCTTGCCAACGGAAGAATCTCCCGGTCGATTCCACTTTGTGGGTTTGATGTTTATGAAGCTCGTTGTGGTGGGGGTAGCAGCGTGAAAGCAGGCAAACCTAGCATCCAATATCGGGTTGGTGGGACTGAAGATGTCTTCATTACCATTACGAGCGATGACCTGGGTCATGGTGACTACTCGGAGATTCGGATCCCTCTGGTTGCTCTTCATGAAGAGCTTGAGGATTATGGTGTGCGTTTTGAGGCAGAGCACAAGGAGGATTGATTTGAGAAATTTGATTGAAGGCCGGAGAATCTTGATTGACATGCCTTGACCAGAGACTGAAGCAGCCACCAACGATACAACTCAAGACTTGCGTCAAGACAGACAGAGTTGTGAATGGATCCTGCACTGTTTGGCGGTTTCCTGCAACAAGTATCCTGACCGAACAAAGCTACCGATGAATAAAGAACCCTATTCCTGAAGTTGTGACAATTTGCAAGTTCTTTGGATTAAAAATGTCTACAACCCACATGTAGCTACATGTACAGTAGCAAGATTGAGCCACCAACGATAGAACTCAAGGCTTGCGTCAAGACAGACAGTGTTGTGAATGGATCCTGCACTGTTTGGTGGTTTCCTGCAACAGGGGTGACAATTCGCAAGTTGTTTGGATTAAAAATGTCTAAAACCCACGTGTAGCTACAGTAGCAAGATTGAGCCACCCACGATACAACTCAAGACTTGCATCAAGACAGACAGTGCTGTGAATGGATCCTGCACAGTTTGGCGGTTTCCTGCAACAAGTATCCTGACCAACAAAGCTACCGATGAATAAACCCTATTCCTGAAGGGGTGACAATTCACAAGTTCTTGGGATTAAAAATGTCTACAACCAACATGTAGCTACAGTAGCAAGATTGAAGAGTTCATGATTACCAGTAAACCCTCTTATTGGGTCCTCTTTTTTGTTGCAACAACAATAATACGATGATTGACAACAATATTACGACGATTGATAACAATAACACTGGTAAAGTATATACCGGTACTGGTACCTGGTACCGGTTCACATGAACCCTGACTCTTTCACCCTCGCATGAGGTTAGAGTTAACGTTGCGAGAAATCTTTCTCGCTTTTCACTGACTAATGACACTCCCTCAGACTTGTTCTTATCGAAGCTCTTCGGTTCGGAAATTTGTTTTGTTTTGTGACGTTGCAACTCTGCTTGAACTCCGAAGAGCTCTCTGTTCCTATCGGCTCTTCAAGCTTCGGTTCGGAGACCGGATTTGAATTTTGGTCGGAGTATACATCTTCAACCAAAGGATTAGTACCAATGACTCTGTCAATAAATAACATTTTGGATAAAGAATCCGAAGTCACCGCACCGGAAAGGCTTCGGGAAAGAAAATTCGTCCATTCCGGTGCGGTCACTTCGGAATTTGTGTAGCCATTGCTACTCTGTGACGTCACCAAGGCAAAAACAAAACAAATTTCCGAACCGAAGAGCTTCGATAAGAACAAGTCTCATCACTCCGTCTGCAAGCGATGATAACGATGAGACCGAGACTCTTCCTCGCTCAAGCTGCTACCGCTACCATTGTGTGTATCATGTTGTCTTGCCTTGCAACCTCCAAAGCATTTTCTACCAAATCTAGTAGGATAGTGCCGGGATTTGCATTCGTAAGGAGGAGCCACAAAGCCCAGCAACGACATGCAATATTCCGCCTTTCTTCTGGGTCTACCGATCAAGCCGATGAAGCCAACAAACATCAAAAGGCCTATCACATTCAAGGGACGTCGGCGTCTCCTGCGGAATCTACAAAACAAGCAGAAGGACGGAAACGGCGACAGAGAAGCTGTGGACCCGGTGTTCACATGACTACCAACACCCATCACACCATTGCAACAGATGTTCCCAAGGCCATGGGGGGTACCAATCTGGCGCCTCAACCCGTGGAAACTCTACTGGCAGCCTGGATTGGATGCACCCAGGCTACGGCTCTCTTTGTGGGTCGTCAACTGGGACTGACTATTCTTAAAATGGACTTTAACATACATGCCAACCGAGATGAACGAGGTGCTCTGGAATTGCCCATTGAAGTGACTCCCACGGTCCCGTCGCGATTGCAAGAAATACACGGCACGATTCATGTATACACGTCCTCCTCGGATAGTGTGGCAGAAGAGCAATTCCATATACTACAAGAGCAAACAGAAGCCAGGTGTCCCGTGGCCAACATGATCATCCAAAGTGGTTGCCACATGAATGTAGAATGGGTAGTGGCCCCAGAAGAAGTGTGACTGAGCTACCAGATACATGGTTAGCTGCCGGTATGCATACATATGGTACCACTTACTTTGTGGGATGCCCAGTGAATGCATGTATGTGTCATTTTACCCGGCAAGAATAGAGATCCCAAGAGGCGTTGGGGTATAGAAAGGGAGCTTCGTCATTCCACAAATCAGTCAAACTCTGTTACAGTTCGAGCTCTTCCTTTTCCTTACAAAACGTTACCAACAGCAGTTGGTATAGGTTTATTTGTTACAGCGCAGCTATAAATATTGTACAACAACCACACGATACCGTTCCTGTTTTCCTTGTGCGACATTTCTCAACTCAAGCAGAAGAATCATCCATTCAACCCAATACACAAGTCCTCGGAATCGTACAATGCGACTGTCAACAAGTCATCATCGTGGAGGACCTCTTGGTTGGAGAAAGACTCGGAGGAAATTCTTTGGTGTCGAAGAAACAAGAGAACGACGACAAGAAGCATAGCGCCCAACAAAACAGTCGCATCCACCGGAAGAAGCAACGATTCGGAATCGTTCATAATATTGTCACCAGACCCTGTCATTCGTCGCCGCTGTCTATTTCCGGGGCGAGTGCACTGGTTGTTGATGCATTGCAAGGGTGGTCCACCACAGTGACAATCCTTGGAACAGACACCTCCTTCTGGTACACCATTGAGATTGTTGGGTACATAGGTAAAGTTGTCAATCACAACGTCAACACGATGATTATCCTGCATCCCAGTAGGGGCAGTGGAACCAAACAAGTTCCAGAGATTCATCCTGACTTCCACATTTGCTGGCATGCATTGGGTATAATCAGCTTCACCCGCATCCAGGGCATCCTGTGTGCCATATGTGAAGCTTTGTCCGCCACCAGCTGTGGAATACCAGCTGATCTCTGCTGGTTTCCACTCAAATTCATACATATTTGGGGCTTGATTGAATGCTGGCGTAGAAGGAGTTCTTCCAACCCCACTATAGAATCGATACTTGTGTGGTGAGCCTGGTGGCTGCACAAGGAACTGGATATCCTCAATGTTGGGATCATCCCATTGAGACAACTCGATGTCAACTTCATGCATCCAACTTTCTTGGTCCCTGAGATTGAAGTCTTCAGTGTCATCCCAGGTAAAGAGCCCCAAGATAATACTGGGAGGTAGAGCAGTGCCGACTACATCTCCGGTAATGGTATCTACCACCTGAATGCTCTTTATTGAAAAGGAGTACCTCCCGTAATCATAAGTTTCCCGAGGAGGCAGTAAGATTCTTACTTCACTGGCATACCACTGTCCATTTGGCTGTCTCCCAAAGGATAATGTCAGGTCAGACTTGTTGTTGCTCAAAGCAACTCCAGCCTTACTAAAGAGGTTGTCAGAAGGGCCACACTCGTCTCCTTCCTTGACTTCCACCTTGTATTTGCCCCAAACATTGCTATAGATTGTTCTTTGGGCAGTTGGGGGATAGCAATACAGTTCTGTTGGAGGGGCATGTGGCTGGGATGATTGCTGGGGCTGCGACTGTGACACCGACACAGCCAGTGCATTTGGAGGAGGACCCGACCCGCATTTATCGGGGTCACATTGCGGACCACACACAGTAGGATACTCGTGAGAAATTTGGCGACAAGCATCTTGTTCATTGGGATAGGTCAGCGCTTGTGACGCCAGTAGAAAGTCAATTCTTTCGGAGCAGCTGTGACCATCGGCGTTTGAGTTGAGAGTGCTCTCTGTACATTGACTGCATCCGCACCTTGTGGGAGCCACGGCAGGAATGGGCACGGGCGGGACATTACTGACACCCTGGCAAGTGTGAGGATTGCACATTCCACACTCAAAGGGGTGTTCCAAGGACACTTCGTAACAAGCTGCTGCTGGATCAATTCGTTCTACTTGTTGAAGGTACTCGATTCTTGCACCACAGGCGTAGCCACCTGCTTGTCGGGACCAGATATTGGATGTGCATTGAGGACAACCACAAAAGGTTGTCGGTGGTGGTAAGTTAACAATAGTGGCCGAAACTGGAATGGGTTGAAGATTTTGTTGAGCACGTCCATCGCACGTGTCTGGATTGCAGGCTGGGCCACAAATGGTTGGAAACTCGTTGCCCACTTGTTCGCAAGCAGCCTCTTCGGTCAAGCCATCTCCAATCAGGAACAAGATTCGGTCTATGCATTTATAGTCACCCGCTTGCGAGTTGTAGACAGCACTTGTACACTGTTGACAGCCGCACATAGATAGGCTGCCCAGCCAATCCTGTTGCGTCCTTCGTTCCAACTGTTTTGCCGCAGCGCCGACAGTGTTGCCCAGGAGCAAAGTCGCGACCACAAAACCACTGAAGAATGTCATCATTTTGCCTCAAGATAAGACGAAACAGATAATAATGAGCGATTGATTATCTACCGTATCTCTTGTGTAAATTCGGAAGAGCGAAGCAACACGAAACCGATGTTCAAATCTATTGGTATCGACTTCACAATCACATGCAATTCCTCTAAGAAGAAGTGTTGACAGAGCTGGTCTTCCCGTGTGAAAGATGACGAACCGACACCAGAGGCCAAAATGGATCAAGTCGCCAAAGGTACCGACAATTACTAGTACTAATCCGGGTGGTCGTAGCTATCTTGGAGTGCCTTTTCCTCATTCGTACCTTCCTGATAATAGTGCGGTATCATGCAACTCACTGGGCAACATTCGGAACTGAGCCAAAGGCACCTCTTGGTCCTAAACTAGATACAAAAAGTGAGAGACGTATGTGCATCAGTTTTAAACTCGGTACTTAGGAAAAGCGTGATCCAGTACGACTTGCTCAAATCTACGTAGACCAAAAAACGGCCAAACATGAATCCGTTATCATTGGCTAGACTCAACCCTAATGAGAGTCAATCCACCGGGAAGGTGTTGAAAAGGTGTGAACTTGAACGCACAATTTCTCTAATTTAATCAATATCCTTCCAGCTCTACTGTCTAGTAGACT